ACAACAGTCTGGCCTTCTCCGCCCGTCTTGCTCTGGCCAGGGGAGCGGTGATGCCAGACCAACGCTCCCACCCCAGGACACAAAGCGATAATATGGATGCTGTACAGCATAACACGTCCAAGGTGCCCCAAAAAGCGCAGACGATGTGAGCTGAAAGTAGTCGAATGTGTTAGTAATAAGTAAAAAGTAAATTCAATCAAATTAAAAATGAAAAGAAAAGTGGAAAAAAGAAGGTAATGCTGTTATTACTAGGATTCTAAGTACATAACATATATATACAATTATATATATCAAATGAAAGCAATTTTTTCCTAATTGATGATTTAAATATTATTGTTATTTAGTGTAAATAGTTAAAAAAATTACTAAATGTACTTAACAGTAATTAACCTAATGAGACTGAAGAACATAATTGCGTTTTATGATTGTTTCACTGTTTAAACATAATTACGGACGACACAGTAACCGCACAGACGGTACATTTTGACGAATGTCTAGATCGTAATAATTTATTACCACTCTTTTCGCGGAAATATTTTTTTAAACTGTCGCATTGGCTTTTATGATTATTTGGTAGGTGACAATCTAAACTAAAACTATCTTTATGGTTATTGCGATCATTGCACGAAAGTAAAATTAGGTAAACGAAATTACTAACAAAAAAATTCCGTAGAATAAAGACATCCTCTTGATTTTTTATACACTGTTCTGATTATATATACTGTTCTTGTAAACACAAAAATGTAAATATTACTCTAAATTCTTTTCCTTAGTCAAAATACTTCAAGCAATACAATATTCCTTGCTATAGAAAAACATAAACGCAAAATCGTTATCCACTATCTATAATTTTAGATTTAAAATAAATATATAAAATGTTTTAAACACCACGTAATAATTGTTATCTAGTTACCTACAACTACGACTAGTGGTAGATAATATTTGTCACAACCCTTTTGTAATGAAGAAAGTTATTATTATTAAAACCTTGCACACCTTAACTAACGATTGTAAAGCAAAATACCTATATTACATTAAATCAATAAAACCTAAATACACCCGGAAATGCTTACGCAAGTGAAAAACGAATAACTCCCTCGCAGCTGCGATAGGCAATACCACTAGACCAACAAGGAAGTCGGCCACCACCAAACTGATGAGTGGATAATGCGTGGGAGACCTTTTCACACGTATCATAGCTGTCAACATGGAGAGGTTGCCGATTAACGTAGCGATAGTTATAACCGCCATAGCGATGCCGGACGCCAGCCAGGATGTGGTAGTTTCGCCTCGCGGTTGAAGCACTGAAAAAAAACCACAACAGCCATTTTGGGTCTGGGCCTAAGGTATCTGTTACCTTATTTTTTTGTAATAGGCAAGTAGGTGTTCAGACTTCTGTGCCAGCAGACGCCGTCGACTTTGTGGGTCTAAGGCATGTCGGTTTCCTCACAATGTTTTCCTACACAGTTTCAGGGGAATAAATAAATCTCATTCAGTAAGTCCATTGGTACACAACCGGGCATACCTACGAACTCAGAAATGAGAATCGCATTTATATTTATAGCAGCAAGACTGCTGCACTTAAAAATATAAAGTATGTATTCGAAAACTGATTTCACTCTGATTGTAAATTGTATAGCTATCTATATGTGAACGTAAGAAACTTTTCTTTTATCATATACATCTAATTGACGTCGAAAAACAAAGCACTAAAATACGTAAAAATTTAAGCAGATTTTTATCGTAATTTCCTACATATATATCTTAACGGTTGTGAGATTTGCTCGCTCATGCCTTTTCGATAATACTACTAGCGCGATATACGTATAGATTGAACACTTCGGGAAAGTAATTTGATTAAATAGTGTTTGTTTTTTTTTCAATTGAAAAGATTATCCGTAACATTGTATGTGAATAGCAAGTATTTATAAATGGTTATATTTACGAATGCGGTTGGTAAATTGTATTGATATTTGTAAATTGTGTACTTACTTTTTATCCTGAATACCTAGTAAATTTAGCTTTTAACATTTTCAGAATTTTAACTAACAAACAACTTTACGAAACACTTTACAAAATTGCTTATATTTACCAACTTTGAGGGTACCTAGCGGATGACAGCTGTAACATAGATTAATATTTTGATAAACTCTTTTGTCTTTGATACTTTCACTGGATATTTTTTTACTGAACGTTATCTCAATAAATTTAATAATTTAACGTTTGTTGGCAAATAGATATTCCTTCTTTTGTGCAGTTCTCTACGGTCATAGACAAAAAAATTGTCAAATCCACAGAGCAGTATCGGTATACTTTACTACGAAATACTTTACAAAATTTCTTTACCTTTGAGGGTCTCTTGACAACATGGCTTAGTATTTTTATAAACACTTTTATCCTTGATATTTATTGCATGAAATGTTTTTTTTACTGACCTCAAATAAATTTCTCAATAAAATGTTTGTTGGTAAATAGATATTCCTAGTATTGCGCAGTCCCATGCGGTCATAGGCAAAAACTATGTCTTATCCACAGCACAGCAGTATCGGTATGATCTGTGGATTTGAATAAGTTTTGTCTATCTTATGTATTAGCGTTTTTTTTTGTTGGTGGAAAGCAGTATTCTATTTTTGTAAAGGTTTCGAAAGATTTGAATGTATTTCGTCGTATCAATAATATTTAGATATAGAATTTTACTTTAAAGGTAGTAATAATTTATGGTAACAGAAAAACAACAATATTTATTTATTCCTTTATTGTCATTACGGGGAAAATATAAAACTGTATTCTCCACATACAAGAATCTTACAAACAAATGCATTCCATAGAAATAATGATAAAAAATTATTTACAGGCAACTTACAGACTATCCCTTAACTATTCATTTTGATACAATAAAAGGCACAGATATGAAGATCATGCTAAAAAAATGTAAACTAAAGTAAACATAAAATTGCCGTTCTACCAAAGTGCTGTACGCGCATGTTTTAATATAAATCATAATAGCATTTTACAGTATTTAATCCAGTACGACTTGGGCCCGTATCAAACAAATACTATTAACAATTCTCTGTAGTTTAAGTTTTTAATACTTTATTTTGGAAATTATGTAAGTTACAGTATTTGTTCCAGTCCAGTACAACTTGGCCCTTATCAACAAAATACTATTAATTGAATTTTTATGCTTTATTCAGGAGGTTTGATAGTTTGGACTGTTTCACAATTTAAAGAATTCAGTTAAGAACTGCCAGATTATCTAATTGGATATAAAATTAAAATCCAAGGATCTTATGTCTAAACTAGTTATTAAACATCATTAAATTGAATTTTATCTCTATTTTGGCACACTGTACCACAATAAACGTTGACGACTGGCAACCCTGTCTAGTCTAGTACTGTTAGTTATTACAAGCTTAGGTAGACGGCATTTTGATCTAGCAATATAGTGCCGTATACGACGCGAGAACCACAAAGGTTTTACAAATTTAATTTCCTAATGTTTTTACAATTTGTACTTAACGCGGTTAGCTTTACGATTACAGAATGCATTAAGGAAGCACGCGTTTACTTTGTACCCTATGACGTCATTTCCGTTTTTAAGGGAATGTATTTGGAATGTAAAAATATACTATATCACGATTATAAATAGTTTTCAGTATAACAGATCCAATGATAGCTTATGGCGATGAAGATCCTTCATATCTTTATATATATTTCGTGGTTTCAAGTACATTTATTTAAAAAAAATTGTGAGTTCATCGATGAACACTAGATGGCGTTAAAATTTAAAAACATGGAAATGACGTCTTACATCTAAATTATATAAAGGGTACCGGCTCGTTGGCACATAACAATGACACACAAACATAAACTAAAAATTAAATATAAAAATTGCTATTTACATAGGCGTAACTTATAATAATATGATACAATTGAAATTTCATTTTGAGCATGGTCCCAACGAGTAATGGAATGGTGAGATCTTGTACTAAAGTACTGATTCGGAGATGACAACAGCAACTGAAATAACTCTTAAAAATCGTTTCATTATAAAACATTACTGATAGTAATAATAATTTTTATTGTTTAAATTCAACAAAACATGGAATGTTATTAATGATTTTATCATAATGCCGCTAGCTGTCATGGCGGCAACACCACAGATTATATGTAACATCTATGGTTGTGATCACGTGGGATTTGTTTTTTTAAAGTTAATATATCCCTTATTCTTATAATTTGCAGTTCGTTTTCTAAACAAGTGCAAAACACAACTTGTTGTCACCTCGTTAACCATAGATTGGAAGCAAAAATGGAATGATTCGGAATGAGCGGTTTTAAAATAACTAACATTGTCGCCTATCCGCGAATTTTAGACTTCAATCTCATTTTCATAATTTAACGACTTACATATAATCTACATACAAAGTACAGTGCTAAATCACACATAAATTATTTCATACGAAAATCTCGCCTAATCTCATAAGCTGAATTAAAAAACTACCTTTAACAAAAACAACAACATTAAATTCTGGTGTATTTAAACAATTCATGTATTGTCTCTTAAATTACGTATAAGTTCATAAATTTTGATGAATAAATATCTTAGTCGCTATGCGCCTTGTCTATGGGAAATACACCAAATTACAATTGTTAGTCTTAACTAGGTACACACGTCATGGCTGTACATCAGTCTATACGCTACGGCACAAGCACCATTAGTCTATGGCGCTATAAAACGCTGTTCCTAATTTAAAAAAGACAGAAATTCGCGCCTTTTTAAGTTCCATTTTTAAATTCATAGCACGTCCTGTGCATTTTGAACTAAATTTACAATATCTGTGGAACCTTCATTAGATCGCGCGTTTTTCTGTCCTTTTTTACATACCAGAGAGTAACAAACAAGATAAAAAACGTCATCAATAAAAATACTCCGCAAAAGGAGGTTTTATATTCCGCATACATTTTGACACTTCAAAGACTTCTTATAATAAACGTTTTTAAATGTAAATGGCTTCCGTCGCACCCTTATTAGATTGTTGCATGTCGTTAGGCGAGAGCGCTGCTCGATCAGACCAGTCCGAGTGAGGGGACTGCGTGAGTGGGGTTTGGGGGGAAGGAGTCGACCAATGATCGGGAGACTCGGGTGAAGGGGTCGGGAATGTGTCCCCCATACCCCAACTGCCGTAGAGACCTGAAACAATAGAAACAGATTAGAGCTGGTAATGTTTAATATTTTCATGGACTTGAAAGAAAATAAGTAAATTATTATAATATATATAACTAAGTTCTCTTCTATTTGGTTACTCAGTAATTCGTGTCACTAGTACTCACCGGACATAATATTGGTGATGGCGGGATGATGTGCGGCCTGCGCGTGCGACAGAGCCGCTGCATGCGTCATCACCGCCTGGAGCTGTGCGTTGTGTTGTCCATTTGCACCTGTGAATTATAGTTAATTAATTACGATGTAATTGAATTATTACATTGGTTTATTATTCATTTAAGTTCAAAATTGTATTGAGAAGGAAAATATATTTGTTTACATACAAGAAAACCAACACAAAACACTATAAATTCACTCATACAATAAGCAGTTATATTCTATAATTGGGATTTAGAAAATATGTTTCAACAAGAGGAGAGTACTTACTGAGATGCGCAAGCGCCGAATACGCCGCGGCGTCTAACTGATGTTGGTGATGGTGCCTCATGGCCGCCATGTGGGCGGGAGACGTCGGGAGGGACGGCCGGGACTTACCGGGAGAAGGGGAACCTGAGAAAATAATTATATTTAACAAAACATATTTAAAAAGGGACATATAAATATTTTCAAGAAGGCAATTGATAGATTACAGTTAATTAGGGTATTTATTACGAATCTTCCAAATATGCAAATACTTTACTTAGAAGTTGAAAACAAAAAATCGTTAGTTTTTAAATGGTAAAGATTACGAATTGTAATAAATATACAATAAAATATAAGATTTTTTAAAAAAGTACACATTACAGAAGTGAAACTTCTTTGGCAAACTAATTTGTTCCTACTTATACAAATCTAAAACTTTAGATTTCCGAGACTTAGAGGGAGGGAAAAAGGAAGACATGTTAAGAATTTAATTGTTATTAAAATATTAAAAGTGTCGAACCTAATACAAATAATAAATTATTTTGCATAAAATATAAATATTATTATTATTGCGTTTAATCCGTAAATTTTTTTATAACAAAAATTAAAGATTTGGATTTATAGCTTACCTATATATGCGTGTGGCGATGTGGTCTGGTTACTGTGGGCAGGCGAATGGTTCGAATATGGCGGAGAAAGAGATGCGCCCGCACTACTCCCGAATTGCAGGGCGCCTCCAGACTGTAAAATAAATTCTTATTATAACCCTGATTTAAATCTAATTATTAAAAATAACTAAATGTGAACAAATTACGAAAATATTTTATTAATATAAATAATACTAACGATGGACGGAAAAGACAGAATCCTGAAATTTACTGATTTTTAAAGCAATGTTTATTATTGTTTCGCGGTCTAACCCAAAATCTCTTATTGTACGTGTGGATTAGCTATGTGCGATATAATATATTAACACATATTATATATAATAGCATCTAAATTAAGTGAATGATTTAAAAGCTTGAATGGAGTATGAGAAGCGTGATAATTTGCCAAAGGCCAAGCGAATTTAGGCGTAATAACCTAAAAATGTATAGTATATACTATTTTCCTCAACGTTTTTCTTCCAGACAATATATACCTTAACACAGTCCTCATAGCTTGGCGGCTGTTTATGATGTACTAGTTGCTCCATTCCGGGGTATTGGGCCATCGCGTTGGAATACAGCGATGTCGCGTCGTATGGCGACGGGAGATCCTGAACGAGAATGAATGAATCAATATATTTTCATTCATTCAGTGACTCTTGCGTACGTGCTTATGATCGTGTTGACTTTAATAAGTTCTATATCGCTATGGATTCTAAATTTTGTCCTTGATTACAGTTATAAAATTAATGTTTTAAATTAATAAAAATCTCTTTACATTGTTAAAAATCTATTATTATTTGTGTATATTTTAATTAAATTACTCGTGTTTTCAGGTTAAAAAGCAAGCGATGAGTGGAAGGTGAAATGGTGATTTTGTAAGAATTGGACGAACCTGTAAATTTTGTAGTGGAGACTCGACAGGACTCAAACTGAATCGCAGGGACTCCACGCTTTGTGGGACCTCTTGTGCAACTTTCTTATTGCTCTTTTTTACACTCGGCTTCCTGTAACATATAATATTAATAGATAAATTTGACGATTCATATTGACTTAAGATAGAACACTTATTTTATTTATTTATTTATTTATTATATACATGATCTTAAATAGAAAATAAGCTGATGTGGTGAAAACACAAACTGGACACAGTTTTTCTGTCCACCAGGACGTCAAACATATTTAAATAACTAACTTATATACTAACATTATAACCATTAAAGTTGTACGTAAAACGTCACAAACCAATTGAAATATTGACGGGGCCTACTGGAAAGAGATGTAAAGGGTGGACATATGCCGTTAAAGAAATTTAGGGAGAAAAGCTGGAATATTGTCCGAGACAAACTGGAATGGAAAAATATGGAGGAGGCTTTTACCCTACAAAACCATACGAATACAAGAACACTAGTTTTTAGAACTTATACTAACACAACTAATACTTATATTAAGAAATGTTAACTAAACAAATGTTTTATGGATTCGTTAATAAAGCTTTAATTATTATTAACTTAAGATCTACCGAACGGATTTTTGGTGCACCAAATCGGTATATATTATGGGTTATGAAGAAATGCCAGTCTCGAAATTCACGCGGGAAATGTTGCGGGCGGATGTTGTTAGGTTTTTAAAAGCAATGAAGGCTGATAATTTTTATCCTTATGTCAAAACAAATCTTCACAAGAGAGAATACTAAACTATACAATAACAAAAGAAAAGGGCCTATTTGACGATCATATACGATTTTGATAGAGTAATAAAATGGCTTAGAAAATGTATTTCAATTTTTTTAGGACTGTCTGTTAACTAAAATGAGGACAATCAGATACTTATGAAAATATGCTACATTTGTGAAAACGACTTGAGATCCATGCAACTTCCTCACAATTTTCTTTTAATAAGTCACAAGAGAAACGTACCGTCTAATTTGGGACGCCTGTAAATTTGTGTCGTATTGGTCTTGAGGACTGTCGGGCCCTGCTTTTGCTCGGGCCTTCTTCGGCTTGCCCTTTGCCGCTGAAGAGCTGATCACTGTTGGCTGACTGATCAGTTGTGGGTGAGGGTTGGGTGATGCTGGAATGAAAATTAAACATGAACACTCTATATACACTCGTCACAGATTTTCTGGCGAAATTATTGCACAAAATGCACAGAAATCTTTCTAGCTATAAAGTTATCATTGTAAGCATCGCAAGTAAAGTGATTTGGCCAATCCTGTAAAATGAACTTACACATGAGATGATGATGCTGCGGTCTCGGACAGTGTTCGTCCAATAACCGGACAATGTCATCATGCATTCTCTCTTGCGCGACGTCTCTTGGCAGTCGATCCATGTGGTCCGTTATTTCTCTATTCGCCATCGCGTCAAGTAAGGCTTTGCAGGCGCCGTAGGAGCCTTCGCGGGCTCCAAGGAATAGAGGCGTCTCATCCTGAAAAGGCACGATTTTTATGATTATTATATTATTGAGTGATGGCCTATTGGCTTCAGGATGAGTTTTCTTTATAAGTGCGCTATAATCACTTGCTAGGCAAACATCGTGAGGAAATCAACAAACAAAACCAAAAATAATTTTTAAATGAACGTACTTTAAAAATGTTGTGGTATGAGTATGAGATTAATTTCAAGATAATTCCAAGCTTTAGTTTACAGAAAGGCTGTTTTTATATAAAAGTTTCTTATTAATTTATTACCATATAACCATGTGAAACAATTCTATCTACTCTAAATTCCACTGATCTATTTATTCTGAAATGTGTATTCTATACTGTGTAAATGATGATTGCAATTTAAGTCGTACCTTATCGTCTTGAGCGTCTCTATTGGCTCCATGTACCAGCAGCACATTGACAGCATCAACATTATTGACCGCGGCCGCCCAGTGCAGCGCTGTCTTTCCACTGTTGTCTGCCGCATTTATGTCCGCATCTGCGTTTATCAAATCTTCCACCATGCCTTCAATTGCCAGCCTGAAAGGAAAGATAGTTGAGAATATTTCGCGAAATTCGGTGTCTATGTTTGTTAAAACTTTTAGCTTATTTTTTAATACACTGAGACTTTGTGTGTGGAAATATGTACATTATTTCTTTACACATTTGGCCATTGATATTTAATACACAAGAGTTAACCAGTTTAAATAAAAACAAAGTATTGACGTTAATAACGAAGTGTTGAAATCAGTGGTAAAAAATCTCACCTTGCAGCCAAAATCAGCGGAGTAGTTCCATCGTGCATTCTGGCATTAAGGTTGGTAGCCCTGTTTCGTAGCAGAATCTGGAATACTCCCATGGCATCAGCTGCGACAGCGGAGTGCAATGGCGTCCTTCCGGTGTTGTCTTGTGAGTTTGCGTCTGCGCCTGCGTCGAGGAGACGTTTTGCTGCGTCTGCGCGAGCGTATCTAAACAAAAAATAATAAGTAATAATATGATTAATAAACGTTATATGTATAGGGTTAAGATTTTATATTTTATGTACGAAATTTTCTTCAAAAGTAAACCTACCTAGCAGCAAGATGCAAGCTGGTCTCCCCAGTCTTATCCATGGCAGCGTTTAGTTGAGCTCCCTGGGCCACAAGCTCGGAAATGATGTGAGCCGTCTGTTCATCTTCGACATCAGATCCAGTATCCAGACCTCCACCACGGATAGCGGCCACCATCAATGGAGTCATGCCGAGAGGGCCACGGGCGTTTACGTCTACGTGTCCGTCGTGCTACAAATGTAAATAAAAATGTTTAAAAAGAGTTCGTTCGTCCACTTGTCGATATCCTTTAAAAAAAATTGGCTTTAATTTCAAATAATTTCTTTAACTTGTTATTGCTATATAATATTGAAGTGACTTACGATAGCTGGCGGAGTCATCATGCTAGGAGGAACTCTAATATCCGCTGCGTCCAAATGTTGCTGACTCCAAACTCTGCCTGGATCATGAGTTGCTTCTTCATAATCCGTGATGGCTGTGTGATCTGATGCATAGCCTCCTGGAGCGGCAGAGTCTCCTGGTCCACGAGCTCGTTTAGCCCTCGGCGGAGCTCCGTCATCATCCTCATCAGACCAGTGTGGCGGCACCATGTGACCCCCATTTATGTCAACATCGATACATCCCATGGAGCCCTTATTTAAGTTTCTCATTTCCTGACCATCGGGACCTCGTCGTCTGGATCGCCGACGGGAGGATGAGCTGTTCGTCATGAATCCTTCTGGGAACCATGTTACGCCTTGCATACGCTTTCTTTGGGCTGTTACTAAGACACCAATTAACAAACCAGCTAAAAGGACTAAAATTACGCCGATAAATACGTATTTAGAATTCGTAGGTAGATCCGGGTTTATTATTGAAGGAACGCCCTTCACTTGGTAGATTGGGAAGTCTGAAGACAAGGAATGTTTAGACGCTGTGGCTGCCAAGAAGTCGGCGGCCTCACGCGCTGAGAAGAAACACTCAGAACTGGAAAGTGTCGTACACTTTCTGTTATCGATCTCCAAATACACTTGCACTCCAGACTGTCCTCTCTCGGTAAAAACGATGTGATGTTTTTTTCCAAATTCTGTGTCTTGTAAACCGACATCTGTCGAGCCCTTCCAGGGATACACCATGTCGTTTCCGAGATGATCTTTCTTAATCAGAATTGTAGTACGAAGCTGATGACCTAAATCCCGGAGGAAGGCAACAGAGTTCTCTTTGAACGTTCTCATATCCATTAGGAGAATCACGGAAATAACACCTTCAGCTAAATCTGGCGGTTCGTTCTCGCAGTCCAATCCATCCCAGTTACATTCAGCGTTATTACAGCCGTAGTCACAGTGTCCGTTTGCATAGTGCTTCTGACAGTACGCATCGTAAATCGGGTTACATTTCTGAAGTGATTTTTCACAATCTCTTCCATCGAACAAGCAGGCTTGGGTGTTACAGACCTCGTTACATTCTCCGTTCATGAAAACTTCCCAACATTTGATTGGGGCAGTGCAATTAGCCCACGGGTTTATACCGAGAGAGCAATCGTTTCCGTCAAATTCACACGCAAAAGTGTTGCATTCTTCATCGCAGTGATGATCACTTTGTTTCTCTTTACAGCCCATTTTTACACATTGTTCTCTTTGGAAAGCTAGATCTAACTCTTGTAGAGTCAAAGAAGGGCTTTGACCGTAGACCCCCGTCACTGGGCTTCCGTAACCACCTCTCGAGTGAGGGTCGTGAATGTCGCAAGTTTTTCCGGTCCACTGCCTTGGGCAATAGCACAAGTAATCTCCAGGTTTATCAATACAACGCGCTTCGGGGTGTTTACAAGGGTTGCTGAGGCAATCATTCATAGAATCAATTTCACAATTGACACCGGATAGGCCCGAAGGACAATCGCACACGTAATCCCCAATCTCGGATGTTCGACAGTAGCCGCCGTTTTGGCAAGGGTTAGAATCGCAAGCGTAGCCGGAATATTCGCAGTTCTTGCCGTAGAAACCATCGCTGCATAGGCATTCATGTCCCCCTTGGATCGCGGTACATATCCCTCCATTCTGACAAGGAGAATTGGCGCAAAAGTTAACTTTAGCGTCACAGTGTCTACCCATATAACCTGGTTTACAATTGCAGTGGTAATCATTAATTAATTGTACGCAATCCTGTGTTCCAGGATTCGAGCACGGGTTCGACAAGCATTCGTTGATGTCTCCCTCACACCTGGGACCAACGAACCCGGCCGGGCATTTACATTCGAAGCCGCCTACTTTGTCTACACAGGTGCCATTGTTGTGACAGGCGTCCTGCGTGCAATCGTTGACGTTGATTTCACAGATTTTTCCGAGAGTACCAAACGGACAGGAGCAAGAAAAGTTGTTGATGAGATCATGGCAAGTTCCACCGTTCTGGCACGGGTTCGGAAGGCAGTCATTAACGTTCAATTCGCAGTTCTGTCCTTGGAATCCTTTGGCACATTGACACTGGTATGTTCCGACTAAGTCCTTACATTGCGCTCCGTTCTGACATGGAGCTGATTCGCACTCGTTTATTTCCTTTTGACAGTAGGAACCCGTGTAACCATCTAAGCAGTGACAGCGATGGGAGTTTCCTATGTCCTCGCATGAGCCGTTATTACATAGTTGCTTCAGCTTGACACCTGCGATAAAAGAAACTTTGTAAGTATCTCAATAAATTTGTGGCAAAAACCAGATTAATTAAAATATGTGAAACTTTTAAAGTAAGATAATAATTCACAAGAAATACCTTTCCGTAAGCTAGCGTCTTTGCAGGATACCATTTCGACGTCACAAAGTTTTCCGGACCATCCGGGCGCACACGTGCACGTATATTGCGGTCCTTTTTGCGAACATGTCGCGCCATTTTCACAGGGATTGTTCTCACACCTAAAACACGGTTCGATTTATAAACTATATTCTACGCCTAGGTTACCTAGATAGGATCTTGAAAAGGAAAAAAAATTAGAAGTATTCCTATATAATTAAATCACAGCAAATTACTAACCAGTCGACGTAAGTGTCGCAGTGTTTCCCAGTGTATCCATAGGGACAGTGGCAAGTGTAGTAAGTGACGTGGTCGTGACAGGTTGCGCCGTTATCGCAAGGAGAGCTATCGCACATATTTATACGGAACTGGCAATTAGATCCGGTGTACCTGTGAAAATAAGAAAATTATTTTTCTGCCTATTTTCAAAATATTTACAAGAACTAATAACTATAATAGTTAATGAAGCTTTGCAGACATTTATCTTTATTGTATTTCTATTTAAATACTAAAATCTACCTTGACGTATTCATACAACGTAAACACTAGATGAGATACTGGCCCAAAATATTTATTCGAGAATTGACCCATACTTTCACCTGATAGGTGATAAACACTTACCCAGGTGGACAAGAGCAATTGTAAGAGTTAATGCCGTCAATACAAGACCCGCCGTTCATGCAACTTGAGTCTGTGCAATCCTCGTCGTTCGTTTGACAGTTGATTCCGGAGAAACCCAGTCGACAGGTGCAGGTATAGGATGCGACGTACTAAAAGAATTATTTGTTATTAATTAACTACAACGCGATCAAAATAGTATAAAGTTGCTGTAAAAATGTTATCTTGTCCTATAAACAGAAAATTTATTTCAGACAGATATCTTCCGAGTAATGTTTCTTACTATGAAACGAGATTTTTTTCAACAATTCATATATTAAATAAGTCCTGCGTTCAAATTAAGCGAAAGAACAAATCTTCCATTTGTGACTGACATAAAATATTCCATGTATAAAGTTTTGGATTAACGCTTACTTGGTTACACGTAGCGCCATTCATACAAGGTCGTGACTGACACTCATCAACATCAATCTCGCAGTGTTTCCCCGCAAACCCACTTGCGCATACGCAGTTGTAATCGCCAATACTGTCCAGGCACGTCGCACCGTTTTGACAGGGGACTGGAAATATAATTTTAAATATATAATTAGGAAGGAGAATAAAATGACATAAAAATGTTTTTGTAATTACACTGCAAATAAGGCTTCAGACTTTATATTTAATCCCTTTCGGATTCATGATCAATTGAATGATCTTAAACAATCATTCAATTCAAATATCATTTAATCATATAGGTAACACAATGTACACTTATGATCGTCAAAAAAAAAGAAATGTATATGAAATGCTTCTAATTTTACATTTAGTGGCAGTTCTCAAACCAAGGGCGTAGAACGGAAGAGAAGAACTGGCAATAAACTTTCCGCCACTCTTTTTAATCGCCATGTTTTTGTTCGCCATTATCAGTTCGAAAAATAAAAATACTTACAAGAAGCACAGTCGTCCGTATTAATCGCGCAATCCTTTCCCTCGTAGCCTCTCGCACATAAGCAGGCGTAAGAGCCTTCAGTGTTGATACACGTGGCTTCGTTATGGCACGGGGCCGTCACCATACACTCGTCAACGTCCCGTTCGCAGAGTGCGCCCGTCCAACCGACCGGACATTGGCAAGTGAATTCAGCGTACGACGCCTCTGCTACACATCTACCGCCGTGACGACATCTAAAAAGTAGTAGTATGTGAGTATTTCATCATAGATAATGCCAGCATAAGTGGACCTAATGATTTAATAATCTGGTTTTAATTAACTAAATAACGAATTTTACGTTACAATGTTTACTTTGCTACATAAGAGTGATAAGAACAAAACAAGTACTTGCTTAAATCAAATACAAAAATCTAAATGGCTATTTTGATTATTGAAGCTAAAAATAGGAAATAACAAACTTTGTTGCGGTTTATAGTTGGTCAAACGACGCAACTGTTTTATCTTGTTTTACTAAAAAATAAAACAAATATGCCTTGATTTTTATTACGAAAAATACTTACTGGTTTGGTTGACAAGGATCTAGTGTATTCTCGCAGTTTCGTCCGGAATGTGGTGGTGCGCACACGCAGCGATATCCGTTGACGAGGTCGATACAAGAGCCGCCGTGCAGACATGGATTGCCAGCGCAATCATCGATGTTTGTTTCGCAATTCACACCTGAAAATATAATTTTTATTTACTGAAAATTACATAGTTGATTGTTAAAACCTTTAAAAAAAACTAAATTAGTTTAATTGTCATGTGTTAAATTCTTTTTACGCTGTGATAAAAGAGGAGAGAACTAGAGTTAATATTATGAAAAAACACTATTTTTCGAGGCATCTCGCGGTGCCGTGGTTAAATAATTAAAGTTAGAAAATGACACAATTAGAATTAGTCATATAAGGAGTGTATGCAATGTTGCCATACCATTAAATCCAAGAACACAATCGCATTTGTATGCATTAAGTCTGTCGTGGCAAGTTCCGCCATGTTGGCATGGGTTGGAGCTGCATTCGTCTATATCTCGTTCACAACGTTGACCTGTTGAAAAAGACAAATTTTAGGACATTTATTAAAAATAAAAATATGTTAGTTATAATTGATACTCGCATTTCGAAATTTCAAAATAGTATAAAAAATCACGTTATTTGTATTATATTAAGTTGGATCCATTTTTCGTATTAAATTAATTGTACCTCCATATCCCGGTAGACAATGACAAATGAACTGATTAACTCCATCTTCACAAGTTCCACCGTTGATACAAGGGTTGGACGCGCATTCGTTGACATCTGACAGGCATCTGAAAAATTAAAAACTTAGTTATACATTTCCTATACATATATTTACTCAATTAACTGAAAACAATACAAAAAACGATTACTGTAATTGGTATTTAAACGCTCAAAATAAATGTAATAATAATTTATGACTACAACAGGTGAAAGAAACTTGGTAACTTAGGTCGGTGTTACAAATCAATGAAAACGATGACAAAATTCCATGAATTCGGACCCCAGCTACTTTTTCCTGTCCTCAGACCTCAAAAGAATGCTCGCTGGACATAAATTTTGCGCCGATGAAGAGGTAATCGCCGAAACTAAAGCCTATTTTGACGCTAAAGACAATCGTATCGATTTTTTTATAACCGCTATAATCGTTGTATCGCTCCCGAAGGCAACTATATTGATAATCAAATCAAATTCTATTAAAAAAAAAATTTATGTTAGCCTATGAACTTTTCAGCCTACCTAACACTTGCAACTGTTGAATTTTGGCCCCATTTGAAACTAGATAATTTTAAAATGTTGGCACATACCTCGCGTCATAGTATCCTCTTGGGCATTCGCAACGGAAACCATTGATGCGATCTATGCATTTGCCGCCGTTTGCGCATGGGTTGGACAAACATTCGTTGATGTTGGTCTCGCAGTGTTGTCCGGTGAAACCCGGGATACATTCACATGTATACCTGAGGAATTGTTTTATTATAATATAAAATAGACTTTAGATCGGGCGGTCAATTTTGGTAGCAATAAGTCATGCCGTCTTTCGTGTCTTTAGGAAACTTTAGACAGCGCGTTTTGTTTGATTGTGATGTCCGTGTAACGTTTGTGATTTGATTAGTTTTGCTGTTAACCAATCAAAGACAAACGAGGCGAGATAGTTTCCTATTTCATTTAATTATCATCCTACTGATGCTTATCGTGTAATTACCGAATGTCAGTTTAGCTTTATTAGACAGATTTGAAAAAATTCTATAATCGTTTATAAAGACAGCGAAAGACGTTTTTTCAATGATATTGAGTATTTTTCTATAAAAAGCATAATATCCGTGTAAAGCCGTGCCATGCGTAATATAAATGAAACTTACTCAAAATAATTGTTGCTGCATGTGAAAGAAAAAATAAGCATTAATAAATATTATAAATTACCGCATAGCAATGTGTTTTAAGCCCCCAAATGTGTTTTAGCAATGAATAAAGTGCGATACTTTGTACAAACCCAACACTGAGATCAGGTATCTTACATAAAAACACTTAAAAAACTATTTTAATAGATTTAAACGCGAATTTATTTCTAATTATAACGACGATGCTTTTCAGAAATTGTTATCAACAAAATGGCTGTCCGTTTACAGCTGGGAACAATTTAAATTCGCGTTTATATCCATAAGCTTTTATATAACAAGTAAGTTGTATTACTGTATTGATTAATATTGATGAATTTTGGAGTGATAATATTATGAATCCCTTTGTATTGGGAATGTATGAAAATGTTCAATTTTGGTTTGTCCTATTGTTCATTATTTACTGATACAAACCTATTAATTCCATCGATGCATGTGGCTCCGTTTCTGCAAGGGTTGGAGTAACATTCGTTTACGTTGATCTCGCAATTACGCCCAGAAGTACCCGGCTTACATCGGCATTGGTAGCCGTCTATTAGATCCTCGCAATGGCCTGGATAAAATAAAAACTTTTATTGCTAGTATATATTAACTTCTTTCTAAATTGGATCAATTAACTACCGTGAAACCTCAAGGTTTAAGACGATGCATTGAATTTTGTTGAAATTACAATAAAGGGACATTCTTTATTGTGAATTAATTTGTCAGCATTTGCTAGTGTTCTGTTACGGAAAAAATCTCATCGTATAGAGAAACTAAAGATAATATAAGAACCAAAATATTAGAGAAATGATTGATTATGACTATATGGCTTATAAAAACACTTCAAATTGTATACGTCGGTAATTTTGAAGATTTAAACGTAGCACAGCCCATAAAAGATAAACTATTAATTCATTGTGGTAAGAACCTCCAAATTGACACGGATTCGACTCGCACTCGTTGATCTGGGTCTGACATACTCGGCCAGTGTACCCAGGGTGGCAGTTGCATGTGAAGCTGTTGTCTCCATCAATACATTCACCACGGTGGCACGGTGCTGATAAGCAGTCATTGATGTTCGTCTCACAGGACATGCCTGAAAAGAATAATTTTATCAGAGATGTTTCTCTATCGTTGGTTCCGGTTGGATTATGAAAGTATATGCATTCTTCCAATACAAAGCACACACACCCATTCACATACTCATACATTCACACATACTTAAGGTTTTATACGACTTGTTTGATTAGATGTAATACTAAGACTACTTTCTCTTAAAAAATGGTTTTAAACATGCACCGCTTGCTAGTGTGAGAACTAGTGTTAGACTAATTTTGCTACAGCCAACGAGCATTTTTTTTTTATAATAAAATGATTAATTCAATATATTATGTAGCATGTTTGTACTATTTTCATTTCGTTCTCAAATCGTGTCTAAATTGTTACAAAAAATATTACTATATTGAAATATGTCTTAATACAAATGTGTTATAATTAAAATTAACACAAAATCTAGAAATATATATCTGTATGTTAGGTCATTACTGGAAAATTCCAGTGATTTTTAAATTAGGTACTTATATTCTATCGAATATAGAGCGTTATAAAAAATGGTATGTTACTTACCAGTATATCCAGGTGGACATTCGCAAGTATAGCCAGCGATGGAGTCATGACAAGTGCCTCCATTCCGACAAGGGCTGGATGCACAATCGTCTATGTTGACTTGACAACGCGCGCCCGTGAAACTGTAAAGTACAAGAAATGTTTACCAATATTTCGAAGAGGAACAGCATATTTCTGACGAATACTACATTATCTCTATATATATATATTTATGTCTAGAATTCTTAACTGGAACTCACCCAATAACACAAGTACAGGATAAAGTGTGGGGTTCTCGCCTAAATGCATTAAGTCCATGGTACATCAGGATCGTACATGTGAGTCGGCTAACCACCAGGACCACCCTGCTGTGAATTCAGGCAAGGGTTAGATTTGGTGATCTGCACTCGTCGATTCAACTTCAGGTCACTGAGTACCCGTAAAACCTGAAATTACATTAAAAAATATAATTTAATTACATACAAAAATTGATAATTTAATTACTAAAACATAGTAAGACAACTAATTATTGCTGCATCAACAGAACTTGTTCTTTAGAAAGATATTCACAAAAGAATTATCTGCGTAGTTCGCCAATGTATCGGGTTTTAGCTACAATGTATGAAGATGTTGACTTTGACTTTATTTAGCAGTAGTAATCATTTATTTTTTCTTTCAAATATGAAGTTGTTGTTTGTTCAATGTTAAACCTTTTTATAAATCTATTAATGTACTTGACTTATATATTCTGTTTATAAATGTAATCTGTTTGGGCTATGTATATTGTGTAAGTGTTTGTTTTTGTTCTCTATGTGTAGCTGAAAATACTTAAAATTACTAGGCGCGTTATGAAAAATTGTGCACGCACCGTGAACACAAAATTAACAGAATGAAGTTGCCCACAGAAGATGCTACGGCATTGGACGTAATTTAAAAACAACATTCAAATAATAATAGAATTTATGTTACACTTAATGTAAGAGAATAATAATAAATATTTATTTATTTAATTATTTGCATGCAATCAAAAACTATTTTTAATAATGCCAAATTAGAATTTTATCCCACATTTATATCTATGTGTAGCTGTAAGATAACTTATAAAAAAATGGAAACAATACTCATGCTACAACCACGACTTCCAATACCTAATCTCAAGTAAGTCATTATTACTTAGCTATTATGTTAACTATCGATTGTATAACTGTACAATTTGCCACACAAGTCAAATATCTATTACATGTCGTATTTTATGATCGTTTGATTTATGAATGCATTGATTTGACATGATACAGTGAACATTCAGAATGTCTGTCATACTCTGTAATTGAATAACGTAACTAATTTTATAAGATATAATAAAAATGCCTTTTATTTCTTGCAAAATCAAAGTAAACTTAATCATATGACATTTTTTTAAGAATATTAATAACGTACTAATATACTATAACGTATAATATCTATTTATTAATTGCCTCCCTTTAACATATAGAACGTTTATTATATGCGTTCGATTCTCACTGAAATATATAGGCTCACGTCGGACAATATATGATCAAGAAAATCTTTTCTTTACCTGTAGGGTTACAGGATTTCCATACAAAAACTTTTCACTATTAGTCACAATTAAAATTACTAGCCATTATACCAGTAGATTATTAAAAGTAGCACTTATAAAATACGTGGGTAGACAAAACGAACCTTAGTTTTTAATAAAAAATCATCCAACTGAAAATAGCCAATCGTGTAGCCTTCGCCAAATAAAAAGGCTTGCACGGAGTTAAGTAAGCTTTTAAATGCGCCAACGTAATTACAATGTCACTCTGAACATTTTCATTTACAACCTCCATTACTTATCACATTTTATTAGTGTTACGGTAACTGCCACAGATAGGTTTGAGTGACTTCTGATATTAAATCACGTTTGTTGTTTGTTTAAATATGCTTCAATAAACTGAACGTACATTTTATTCTTGTTTAATTCATTTAAAATTTGTTTAATTCAAGATATATAATAATAAGAAAATTACAAATCAAATGGTTGTTGTATGTACTACTCTCAGTCTATGTTAGTTATTGTTATTTCCATTTCTTTGTGTTCTGCAGTATGGACCGCTTTTGGGTGAATTTGGATCTGATCTTAGGTTTCAGTTGATCTTAGCGTTTTAAATCTTTACTATGTCGTCAGCCCATCGCTTTTGTGGTCTTTTTCCTGTTCGTCAAGCGGATGGCTTCGGCGGTCCGTCTTTTATCTGTTGCAACATGGCCTGCCCATTACCATTTCAGCTGTAAAGTCTGGGTTAGCGCGTCGTTGATCTTAGTTTTCGTCCTGATGTGGTCACATTTTGTAAATCTTTAGGATGCTGCGCTCCATTGCTCTCTGGGCACTAGTCACCTTCGACTTCACTCTTTCCGTAAACACATAAGATATGTAGATATAACATGTCTGTTCCGTGCCCAATTGTACATTCTACTATACATACTAGACTAGTCGAATATAATTTTAAATTTATCCGACGTTTCGCGTGCTGCACTAAGATGGAGGTCCCTCCATCTTTTAGTCAATACCAACTCCGGGGAAATAAATACAGATAATGCAACTTTCTCTACAGCTGTGATACTTTTTGACATCCAACACCTTTTGTCTTCAGTCACCGTGACCACGCACGCTGTAAAGCACACGAAACGTCGGATAAATTTATAATAATACATAACTTTAATCCGGATAAAAAGTTTTTTCTTTAAATGTGTAAAGGTTATGTTAATCAAAGACAATACTAGTCGAATATGTTATTTGCAGATATTACGGATTCAAAGTTTTCTATTTTTCTAGATATAGTCCTGAGACGTAATAAATCAACTATACCTTAGGACTATATATGATCGAAGCCTTCAATTCTGATTAAAACAAGAATTTAAGATAAATAATAGAATGAGAATGCTCTGTAAAACATCTTAAGCGCAGCATGTTTTAAATTGCAAACGGAAATCGACTCAATATCTAAAAGATCAAGAGAACATTATTCTTTGACAGACTTTTTCCATAGAACACCTGGCCCATACCTGTATTGAATTACACCCTTATTTAGTGCACATTGCCTTCAATCGTTTATCGACTTTATTTCCTTTGAATAGAATCGAATATCGTATGCAGTAATTTCTATTGATATTTCTTCTGAAATCACTACCGTACCAAAAAAGGACCGTTGTCATACATGATCATACAGCTTCCTACTGTCAATCCTATGTATCATGCACATGATTGTAGAAATTCAATAACTTTTTGCTTTATATTTAATTTTGATCAACTCATTAATCCGACCGTATTTATAAATATGATTTAATATAACAATTAAAGCCTTTATAGCTGTAATTACTTATACTAGTAGGTACATAAAAATTTAAAATTATAGTAAATATAAAGAATAAATACTAATAATTAATCGGCAAGCCGGTTGACTTCTGTTATACAGCTTGTCCTTGGACATAGGCCTCCTCTAAGGGCTTCCACTCTTCTCTGTTTCTAGCTTTACGTAGCCCCATAGGCCCAGCTACTCTATGATTTAATATAGATGATATTAAATATTCTGCATTTTTAAATATACAAACGTGTTACACTTGTAACAACTGTTTGAATTGATTTGAACTCAATTGTATGTTAATTTAAAACCAATTTATAGGAAATTGTATGGGATGGTTTGTATTACGGTCAATTGTCTAAGCACTTACAGTTCATCAAAAATGATATTATTTGTATGAAATTGTTATTAATAAAATATGACTTACATATACTTATATTTATACAACCTTTTTTAGGTCTGGGCCTCAGATTTCTTGATCATTAGTAAATTTAATAGGCAAGTAGGTGATCAGCCTCCTGTGCCTGACACACGCCGTCGACTTTTTGGGTCTAAGGCAAGCCGATTTCCTCACGATGTTTTTCTCTACCGTTCGAGGGAATGTTAAATGCGCACATAGAAAGTCCATTGGTGCACAGCCGGGGATCGAACGTACGACCTCAGGGATGGTAGTCGCACTCTGTAGCTACTAGTTTTACTTGCCTATTATATTGATAAATGATCTGAGGCCCAAACCTAAAAAGATTGTAGCGGCACTGCTTTATGTTTTTATTTAAATTGGTAGATACTTATCGATATCAGTAAACAAATCAAAAACGACCTTTAGGTTAGTTCAAATGGCTGAACGAATTATATTCCCACTTACGTAAGCTAGTACATTTATAGGTATTTCCGGGGAGGGGATAGCCACGCCCTGTTATGGCTACAATTATTTAAATGACTCGCCGTTTACGGCTTAATAAAATGTCGTTACGGCGGTTACACTATTAAAAATACAGCATTTTAAGATTGAATTTAACATACTGTTGAATTCCCGACAAATGTATGTATAAAACAATTAAATAACGGGGCAAAGGACATATACATATACGATAGTTTTTATCGCGACAAAAGGAGTAAAAGTTTGTATAGAAGTTCATCATCAAATAAAAAGGAAAAATTCTGCTCAAAGTAAATAAACGAAAACGAAGTCGCGGTCTGGTTAAAATAAATTGGATTGAATTAAAAGGCCGGCAACGCACCCGGGAGTCCTCTGGCATTGAGTGTCCATGGGCGGTTGTATCACTTAACATCAGGTGAACCTCCTGCCCGTTAGCCCTAGTTATATATAAAAAATGAGACCTTAGCATATGCATAATTATTTAAGTAATACCAGCATATATTTGGACAACCAATTCTATAGTCTATGCGTTGTACCATAAACAATTGTCACGAGTTCGCAACAATGGGAATGTCCGGTGAATATAGGAATCTATATTGTTTGTTTTGGCTTTAACGTGAATTTCAAGGCAAGGTCTGCTTTATATGGACTGACTATTTATACATACTAACTACATATAAAATAATCAAAGAACTAAAATGGACTATAAAAATAAAATGAATCAGTGGGGGTACAACCTTTTTAGGTCTGGACCTCAGATTTCTATATCTGTTTCATGATCATTGGTCAATCTAATAGGCAAGCTGATCAACCTCCTGAGCCTGACACACGCCGTCGACACATTTTTATGGCAAGCCGGTTTTCTCACGATGTTTTCCTTCACCGTTCAACCAAATTTTAAATGCGCACATAGAAAGAAAGTCCATTGGTCTTGATATTGAAAGAAAGCCGGGGATCGAACCTACGACTTTAGGGATGAGAGTCTGACGCTGTCGGTTCTAGCCCAACACCGAATTAAAGGATTATACTAGACGAAAGTATTTTTACAACTGTATGCATCATGGTAACCATGGTGACAAGGTCATAACCTAGAGCGCGGGATAAAAGATGGACACTTATTACAACAAAACGGACTAGCCCTACTAGGAAAAGATGTATAGGACGACAAAAGAAAATATGGACAGATAACTTAATAGCTACAAAAACTGTATGAATGTTGCTCCATACAAACAGAAATGAAAAATATTGAGGAGGCTTTACAGTGTAATTGGCCATACAAATAAAACCTTAACTTTTAGAACTCATACTTAACAAATTTGTATATGTTAATTAATAAAGGTTTAATAATAATAAACCATGGTAACAACTGACCAACCACGTTTCTCTCTTTAATCGGCAGCTCATGCGGACTATAAAAAAAAACGGCCAAGTCTTTTGCCTTGTGTTACCAACCACGATCATTCTCTCCAAGTTCCCATCGCCTCTGCGCATTGTATGGCCGAAATATGAGATAATTCGTTGTAGGCATACGTTAAGAATATGTCCTGTAAAGCTATTCTAAATAAGTTACATTAAAACGATATCTTTCGAAATGGTTAACGGTCGTTATCATAAAAAGCGAGTGCAAAGTCCCATAGGACATGTTTATGCCATAAAAAAATTAAAATGTCGTCATAGCTGGCAACTTTGCCCTTATTAGTGCACCCGCTGGACTGGTCTGACTTCTGACTGGGACGACCATACATTTCGTAAATACGATACATTTTATTTAAAGCTTATTTTTGTCAATATTATATCTTCAACTATATATTTACTATCAATCAGTCAATCAAAAATCATTTATTCATGTAGGTAACACAATGTACACTTATGAACGTCAAAAAAAAAAAGAAATATACATTAAATGCTTCTAATTTTACATTTACTGCCAGTTCTCAAATCAAGGGCGGAGAACGGAAGAGAAGTACTGGCAATAAACTCTCCGCCACTCTTTTTAATCGCCAAGTTTTTGTTTTACACTATCAGGCTTCCGAAGGGAAGGGCAAGGGTTACAAATTAAGATAAATAAAATCAGTAGTGCTACAACCTTTTTAGGTCTGGGACTCAGATTTCTGTATCTGTTTCATGATCATTTGTTAATACACACGCCAATTTTTTGTGTCTAAGGCAAGCCGGTTTCCTCGCGATGTTTCACCGTTTGAGTGAATGTTAAATGCGGTTATAGTCCATTGGTGCCACAGTCGGGGAACGAACCTACGACCTCACGGATGAGAGTCTCATGCTGCTGGGGCGATATTCAGAAACCAGACTGCGCTAAGCGTGACTACTGTGTGTCAAAAACGGTTTTATATACAGGTGTAGTTCGCTTATATATGAGAATAGCACGGCATAATAATTTAAAGTCTGGCAACGCACTTGCGAGCTTTCAACGTGACTGGCCATGGCATTACCTAACATCAGATGAGCCTCCTGCCCGTTTGCCCACTGTTATATAAAACGAAAGCCTTAAACGTGGTCAACCTACTGTGTCCACTCGTGCGTGAGATGATACAACACGGCCGAAATAAATACACACAAGCTTCGAGTCTCAACAGCCTTCATAATTAATCAGTATTATACAATACAATTCTTTTTTCATGTCGGTAAAGAAGGATTTTTAGTAAGTGATAATAGAAAATATTTTTCATATTCTAAATTTTATCGGCAAGGACAAATTTAAAAACCGGTTTTAACCGGTTTTAGTACATCAACATCGTTACCACGTCATTGAGTTGACATGTACTTGACAAGATGCGGGCGCAGACCACTTACCACTCATTTTATGCTTTCTTTTTTGAAGATGAGCTATGTGGCATTATTAATAAAGATTTTTTTTTAATTTTAAACGAAGAGGTTACAATTACATGTGTTTGAAATGATTGAAATTCAGTGTGATGTCATATTGTTTTAGCAGTGTGGCTTCATCCCTGAGGTCGTAGATTCGATCCCCGGCTTTTCACCAATGGACTTTCTTTCTATTTAATTTAGTATTCACTCGAACGGGAAGGAAAACATCGTGAGGAAACCGGCTAGCCTTAGACCCAAAAAGTCGACGGCGTGTGTGTTTTATTAATACCAGCTAAATAGCGCCCAGGAAAAGAATCAATCATATTCCCAAAGAGTCGTTGACTGTAAAGATACTATGTTTTGTATAAATAATAAATAGGATTAAAGGAATTAAATACATAACTAAAATCATGTTCTTTCCTCTTTAACAGTATGGCATCAGTAAGACATTACTTAATACAAATTAATCTGATTTAAAACACGAATTAAATATATCGCAAATTAAGATTGCTCCAATAAAATCTTGTTTTTATCTCAAAATCTAGCTTTCTCCACGGTAAAAATACAGGAAGTATGCAAATTTCGCGGTTGAATTGATACGCAACTCGTTCTAATATATGTATATATTACAAATATTGATATGCAAAAATGACTTTTATTATTAGGTAAATAGAGTGTATTCTATTAATATAAAATTTATTTCCGCGTCAAGACAAAACGAGTGCTCTCATCGCCATGGGAACTGGCTTTATCAGGGTTGCTACATTAAACATATAAGATATATTTTTAATATGTTGATTTGATAAAGATTTTATAAGTAAATGCACAACAAAAATATGTGTACTTATGTACACGCGTTAGAAGTTATACTTCTTTGGCGTAACAAGATAAAAATTTGATTTTACGTTTGTAGAAAAAACGACACCAACAATAGAAAAAACTAAAATGTTGGCGATAGCTAACTTCAGGGTGTCGATTTTTGAGAGGGTGTGCGCGCGCATCGTAAAAATTTACTGTCATAATTTTTCCCAAACGCGCCAAAAGAACTATACGTATAACTTCAAAAAATTAATTTACGAATGGAATTAATTACAATTTAATAATAAATTAAATTTATTATATGTTAGTATGTTGGCAGCAATGGCCCAGTGGGAATAAAAAGAGAAGACGTCTACAAAAAACTTGAGAAGATGGAAAAGGGATAGACGGGCAGGATTGGAAAATTGTGGCAAGGAAAAGAGGCAAGTGGAAGAATTTGAAGGAGGCCATCATATGTATTCTATGTAATTTAATTTAGTACTCAAATAAAGTCTATTTTTTTTATGTTGGCAACCTTATATCAGTCTAGCTAATGATAATCATCAAACGATCGCTGTCAACTGTGTGGCAAATTGTAACTTCGCGAAGGGGGGTCTTTCCCGTTACTCGCCTTATAATATGTTTTTGTTAAGGAATACGTTCCTTTAATCTAAAATTAACTATGAAGAACCAGGACATTATACAACTATTTCTGACATCGTTTACATAGCTAATCTGATTTTTCAGTATCTGTTGCTCCTGACGAATATCAAGTGCCCTAGAAGTATTGTAGAATATTTTAAGTAGAGGAAAGACTGGCTTTATTGAGCAGTGTATTTTAGTTTTTTTCTTTAAAATATTAATGTTCCAAAATGACTAATGTTTTCTGTTTCGTATATTTTGTTTATCAATGTAATATGTTTTGGCTATGTATTGTCTAAGTGTTTTATTTTATAATATGTGTAGCTGTAAGATTACTTATAATAAAAACACCAACTGAGCCATAAGCAGTGTCAGGACTGACAGCGATATTTCTCTCTTAGGCAACATAGATGGTATAATTAGCGCCTTTCTCATTGTTCGTGGCTGTATCAGTGTGATCAGTCACTTCGATTCCCCTGTTGAGCAGATATGGTCGGCTTGAAGCTTCTTCATATAAAAAGCTATTACTTACCAGGCATACACACGCATCTGAAAGTTCCTGGATCGTCCAGACAGGATCCCTCGTTCCTACATGGGTGGCTCTCACATTCATTAACATTGGTTTCACATCTTGGTCCCGTGAAACCTACAGAACAGTTGCAGGCGAACGAACCGGGAGTGTTGACACAGATGCCATCGTGCTCGCATGGAGAACCTGGGGAATTTACGAATGTTCTAGAATCCGTGTAAAATCCGGGCGTTGTAAGTGCTAAGATTGGTTTAGAAAAAATACAACTGGTTAGACAGTACATGAATGTTCTTAGGAGCAAAATCTTTAGTCTTTATAAAGATTTAATAAGCGTATATTTTTAGTATGTGATGAACATGAAAACTCCTTACCCTGTTCGCACTCATCAATATCCTCTGAACAATCGAGACCCTTATAACCAGATGCGCAAGAGCAAGTGTATGAGCCATTAATGGGACTTGTGTCACAGATCGCGTCAGCGTGACACGGGTTTGATGTGCAGGCATCGTCCAAGTGGCAGAGAAGACCTGGAAATAAATGTCGATTTAATAATTTTAATACTTTAAATGTGTAGATACCATCACAATTGTTACCTCCGCAAGTTTATCAAAGTGTAGTTGATCACGCTGGATCAAATTTATTAGAAAAAATTGTCTTAGCTTCTAAGGCCTATAGATAAATAGTTCATATCAAAAGCTTTTTCTAAACTTACCAGTTTTTCCAGGCGTACACTTGCAGTAGAACGCGCCAACCCGGTCAATGCATGTTGCGCCATTGAAGCACGCGGCGCCTGCGCAGTCATCTATGTTCACTGAGCACTCGGGACCCGTCCACCCGTTGACGCAGATGCAGGAGAAGCCTCCGACTGTGTTGGTGCAGGTGGCGCCGTTCTGACAGACTAAAGGTCTGTGGAGAAGAACAAAGTTTGAACTGAAGGTTAATGATTCAGAATCTTGGCCTAAGCTTGTATAACAATAGTAATATAAAGAGATTAATTAAAAGAGTAGGTGTTGAGTTTCTTGCCCATTCTTCTCCACACGAAACTACCTTTTGTAAGTGGCAACTAGAATCATCTTAATATTTTATTTGATGTTCAAAAGTGCCATTTTAGGTGGTCTAATTGAAATAAATGATTTGACTTTGAATAAAATAATAAATATAATATTGTCATAAAAAAAATACAGTTTTTATCATAAACATAATGTAATTTTACAGCGACAAAAGCATATTTTGTGTGTATGGCGGCGTTAATATCTTTAATAATACAATTATAAAACGCCGACAAAAGCGGCGCTCATAACTTCTGGAAATATTTGCTAGTTTTTAAGTAAGCATAATTTGAGAGATTCTTAAACCTGACTCGAATTTTCATAATTGTAAATGTACATTGTTTTCTGAGGCGTCTTTATTACATCTTTAGGATAGTATTCCGTTGCATTTACATTCGAAGGAAAGTTCATATTATTTTTTAAGAGTTCGTCTTTACGCCTTGTCAAAGAAAGTCAGGTTATATTAGGTAATAGTAATATACAAAGCTCACAAATGTACTTAAAGAGTTTTTCGTAATGACATGATAATTAATATGACATTTGATAATTGGCTGATTGTGCGGTTTTTAAAACAATCTGAATATACCAATTTCTTTACAAATAAACTTGATTTATTTTTTATTAATATTTCTTTTGTGACACAAGAGTGATTTTTAAAGTAACAGGGGGCAAAGGGGCAGGAGGCTCATCTGATGTTATGTGAGCCCATGGATACTTTGGATACATTGCCAGAAAGCTCGCAAGTGGCCTTTTAAGAATCGGTACGCTCTTTTCTTGAAGGACCTTAAGTCGAATTGGTTCGGAAATACTTCAGTGGGCAGCTGGTTCCATATAAACTGCCTTAAGAAACGTTCAGTTGATAGACAAAACATTGATTATTTTGTTACGTACCTTTAGTACTTTATAGATAACTTAAAGACACTCATTTTAAAACTTAACATTCGTCCTTTTTAATAGGTTTAAAAAAGCTGACTCAAATGTGATTTTTGTAATACTACCTACCTATAAATAAGGTTCATAATTGTTTTCATATATTTTACATACGAAGGAAATTAAATATAACTTTTTCATCGACGACTAGCATTTGACACACCCATTTATAACTGGCATTTCACAATCGGAATCTCTATAAACTGGGTGTGTCAGGGCGCGTGCTCTATGGGCTATCTGATCAAACCATAGAACATTACACAAATCTAAGCTATTTAACTAATATTCACATGAATTATGTACCAACGTTATTTAGAAATTACGATTTTCATTTGTAGCACTTAATCGAATAAAATATATAATAACATACAACACTCGGTACCTATTTCAATATTGTGCAATTCTTTCTAAATCACGTTAGTTTGTATACATCCGTCTAAAAGCACAGTCATTTGTTTTATATCTTTAATTAGCCAGAGATAATATTCACCCATTCGTAGAGGTATTTACTATATATACCTTCGCCACTGCATGACTTTGAGGTTCCAAACAAACAGCCACAGTGCACGATATAACAACTCTCAGTTACACTCTCAAATACATGCGCATACTCACCCACTCACACATACTTAATGTCTTATAAGACTTTAAGAACAATAATTTATGATCTAACCTTAAAATATAATAACTAAAATATATTATTAAAAGGAGTCCTTAGGCAAGGTTCCGAAGATACTGGCAGCGTTCTCCCTTTGAATAGCTAGACTAATTCTTTGTCCGAGGTAGCTGCCAGCTCTTCGGTCTCCTGTGATGTCGACTAACCTTTGTGATATTACCATAAAAAGCCTTGTAGCGCTAGGACACACTGACACTGAATGGGACAAAATCATATTCGGAGCCTAGACTTTAAGTATGTGTGTATAAGACTTAGTTGTAACGCTAAAATTTCTTTTTTAGAAAAACTGTTTTAAACATGTACCACGAAATAATTGTTATCTATTTACACAGGGACTCCCTAGCGTGGGGACTAGCGATAGATCAATTTTTTCACAACCCTTTTGTCTTGAATAAAGTTTTTATTATTATTATATACTTTGAAACATTACTTAATACACTCCAAGAGCCCAACAATGATTTACGTTACTTACCACCAAACACTTAGAAACGACAATAAATATGTTACTTCAAAGAAGCTGTAAATCAAACGTGACTATTCGCTTTAATACGCCACATTTTATTCACGAGTTAGGAGCTGAAGCGTTTTAAACAGAATTCTAAAAAATTAACAAAAATTACCGCCTGGTTTTATAATTTGTCATTGAATGATTTTATCAGTCCATAATTGTACGTGTTTGTTGATAAAGGATAATAATAAGATGATCAGTCAAATATACAGTAGATTATAGGACACTTTACACAATATAATTGTTTGATTATTCTGGGAGTGATGTTTAACAAAAGTTTTTCGAAACAATTTGTTATCGCCATGTCTTATGCCACATACTAAATGTATGCAATTTAATATTCTAAATAGGTTCTCTAAATACACGATACAGTATAAATTGTCGACTTTTAAATTTTAAATTCTAATTAGGTTCAGGTGCGGGTTGGTTTTTCTTTCCAAGAACAGGCCAGTAAATACGCTGCATTTGTTTACACAACTAAAAAATGAACTGGACATAAAAGAGACTAAGACCCCGAGTTTTGGTTCCGACATTTCTTCTCAGGGCAGTGTTTCACTTTTTTCAGCTATGAATTGTCGACTTCATCTAGTTTAAAATATATTGATTTATATGGTCCAACTCGAAAAGAAAAACTATTTCATTTGATTTATATATCTGTAATTAGATCAATAAGATAACTCTCATAGGCTCAACTATGTCAATACTCAATTATGTCCAAATTTCACTGTTTACAGTAAATTATGTAAAAAGGATATTCTATAACTAGTCCTTCAAATATTATATATAAGTATCTATTGTAATCAAAAAGTGTTAGAATTACAGTTTGGTTTTTATTCTTAATTCAAATTTTTACCGTCACCTCAAATCTTACCTACCTTCAAATTATTTTTTCTGTGTTTTGTAATAGTTTCGCTAAAAGGTATTTTCATAAAAAATATTATTTCATATCTATTGTATCAACAAGTGTTAGAATTACAGATCGATTTTCGTTCTTAATTAAAAATTCTAATTTATTCCTTTTAAATTTCAAATTTAGAACACCGAACACATCCATATAAAGGAAATACTTGCTCCCCGCTTTTAGAACTAATGCACTATTGCATTGGAAAAACTTGAAAAGGGCGTTGAAATACGGAAGTTGGTCATCAGTCTATCATTAATCATGCATTTGAGCGACGTAAGAAGTATCATTTGTAAGGCTTTCTTTGAATTTTACCGCTACGGGTTTATACTTGAATAAAAATTAATTCTCCTATGGTGAGTTTTGTTGAGATGTTTTAGGAGCCTTTATGTATCATCCATTTTACCCGTTACTTTATGGATATAGTATAGTATATATATATTGGATATTGAAGAACATATTTTATATGCATCCGAAATGTGTTTTTTTTTTTGGACTTGAGACAACGTCGTAGCGTCAACGAAATGAAAATGGCAGAAATATCTTTTGTAAATTTAGTTTCATAATTTTCTTTATAGATATTTCTAATTACAAATAGAATGAGTAGAAAGTTGAGCGGTTTGCAGTCAATAAACAAAAGTTATTACTGCGCAAGTAATTTATTGACTACTGACAGCGTTTGCGCATGTATTGGTCTACAGTTAACATGTAGTATATTCATTAACCTAAATGTATTTATTATCAATAAATCATAAAAAAAAATTACAGGTATTTATTAATACATAAAAATTATAAGGGAAGCAACGGGCGGCCTTATCGCTAAAAAGCTATCTCATCCAGGCAACCCTAGTTAGGGAAAAAAACAAAAAAAATATGATGGGTAAAGTGCAATTTTATGGGTATTGCCAATTTTCCAATCAAAGTTCTATACAAACGAAAACTGGCAACTCTTCTGAACTGTTTTTAATCTAAATTTTTACGTTTTAGTAACAGAGATGGCAAAAGACTTTTCACCAACCAGATGGACCGATCAAGTGAAAGACTCATCGTACTCAAAACTATGCAAGAGAGGCGCTGGACGGAAACCGGTGGAAAAAGATTGTCCGCGCCAGATGTTTCCTTACTGACCACGGCACTCAGACATGAGCTACCGACTGAGAGAGATTATTACACTCAGCTCCGTATAGACAATGTTTAGCCATTCAATCAAGTCGGTCGAGTCAATGGGATATTGATTAATGTCTGGGATGAGTTCAAATTGAATACGCTACCGGTTCTGGCCGACATAAGATTGATTGTGTAATGAAGATGTGTTTGAACTGTGATTACATTTCTTTATAAAATAGCGGCGAAGGAATATTTTATTTAAAAAATATTTTATTTTATAAATAATCTGATACGCATACTGATTATTTTGCAAAATTTTCTTTGTAATCCTAGAGTTACTAGAACATCTATACTACTTCTATCTGCTAATGAAAATACATATTGATATATATTACAACAATCTTCCTAAATCACACTCTGAATGAGGGTAGTTTTAGTTTTCTTTTTTTCTGCTGTTTGCTTGTTTAATTTTCTCCTTGCTAACTTGAAATTTCTATGTTCTAATATATGTGTGTAACATTTGTGAAGTCATATTTTCTTGTGTTTACAGCATACATGTTGTTTTAGGACTTAGAAATAAATAATGAATTATAAGAAAAGTGTTTCGTAATGGAAATTTATTAAATCTTTATCATCGTCTGCGCATGTAACTAGATCACGACAACAGCTAATGGCTACACAAACCACTCTAACGGCTCCAAAACTATTTTATAGATTATTCGGATCCTAACAATT